TAAATAACATATTTTTAAAATTTTTTAATGGGACTAAGTCCCAAAAAGCTAACAGTAAGGGTTGTTCATTCTTTCACTCATCAATTTATTCATTTAGTAAGTAAATTATTTGAGGTGATAATATGGTAGTTTCTGTAGTTTGATATTGAGACAACATGAATAAATGGAACAGAAAATAAAATAACGGCCCCCAGTGCTTTTAACTGTATGCTAGACTTTGAGGGCGTTCCTCCCTCTGTGTATTCAACTGTAATAGTCTTTGTGTACATAGATATTTCCACCTACTTCACAGTAAGAAATATTTTGTTAAAACTAACTTTCTAGACCTAGGCAAAGTGTTGCTTCTGTGACATTCCCACATGTTCTAAAAATAACGTTTTCCTGATCCAGCAGTTCTGTTCCACTTCCTGTCCCCTCCCTCCAGACTGGCCTGATTTCAGTCCAGAGCTCCTGCACAATCCGATAATAAAGTCATTTTACTTTACTGCAGACCAAGGTTGGGGCTGCGGCAGCAGGTGAGAGCTCTGGACGGGGCCAAGGACTGAATCTTCAGGCTTTGGTTGCTGAATGTCCACACAGTCGACCAAAGGGGACCAAAGCTAAAAGGTGGAAGGCCTACCTGTTCCCACACCACAGCTCCAGTGCCACATTAGGGACACACTGTGACACCCAAGGCTTTGAGTGGACCTGTCCCTTGCCAGGCACTGATGTCACTGTGCTTTGCTGTGGAGCCTCCGTGCTTGTTCTCAGTCTACTTCCTGCAGCACAGTCACCACGCATTTGAGTGTGACTTATCGAGGTCACTGTAGGCCAGGCCTGGGGTCAAGGCTGGACATAAGTGGAAGACAAACATAGCCTGTCCTCAGAGAGTTTACCTTCTAAGGGAAGATAGTTGTTCTTCTAATAGGGACGCAAATAATCCTAAGATTGAAATCTGTGGTAAGTGATGTGAAAAAAAAATTCTAAGATCCCATAGTAGCATAGAATAGGGCAAACACACCATTTTAATTAAAGCAATTACAAATCCAGAGGGAGGCTGCTCTTCTGTTATAAATTACAGCCTATTCATTTCATTTCCTCTCTTGCTAATCTTCCCTAGTGATGGGTTTTGAAAGCTAGCAATATGTGAGCTTATAAGCTTTAAACAGTACAATACTGAACTAGGAAATGCATTTCAGACACTTAATTGTCATTTCTTTGACAGGCATAGTGTCGTTTTATTATTACACTGGTTTATATGGTCAAAATATGAAGGTATATTTAGTACAAGTCAGTGCCTCACACTCATTTGCTGTTCTTAAATCTTTGAAGCCTGACATGGATTATTTTGCAGCGGTAATTATATAATTCACAGACTACGATTAGAAGACTCACTGACTTTTGTGGCAAAATACACTATGTCAAGTGACATAAGCATAGGGATAAAACCTATTAGTAAAAACGTATGTTTTATTTCCATGTAGTTTGCAGTCCCTGAGGTGAAGGAGTTTGACAGGACTTTCTCTATTTTATATTTAATAGTGTCTCCTACATAATTAAAAAATGAGTAACCCAAAAGTAGCATTTCCTAAGAGAAACAAATATTTCTAAAACTTTCTTAGACTACTTAATTCTTACTAGCTTCTTTTTCCTTAGCAGTTCCAAAATTTACTAGGATTTCCTTCACTTTTAGATGATGTTAGACACAGTATTAAGGACATATAATTAAGTTCTACAAAAATCACTCCATTTTAGTATTATACACATATCTGTTAGTCAGTAATTCATATCTTTCCAGGATTTCTTAATCCTGGCAGAAGTTTTTTCATTAATCAGCTCTCCAGGCAACTTGGCTCATGTTGGACATCTTCAGCATAATATAAGGCAAAATAAATTATTCATGTGATATGGCTGGAATAATTAAAGTGATAAGGATCCCTTATGGATTTGTGTTTATCGAAATTTACTGTATTCTCTGAACAGTATCCCCAAGCAGTCAGTCCTGAAGAATGAATAGAGTGTATGGGAAAGGTATTTCATTGAATCTTCCCTGTTCTCAAAATGATTGAAGATGAACACACGACATACTACAGCCCAGCAATTCCACTTCTAGTTATATACCCCAAAGAAATGTGTTTGTAAGTTCACCAAATGACTCATACTAAAACGTTCACAACAGCAGTATTCACAACAGGAAAAAAACTTAACAAATCTCCAGCTGCCCACCAGTAGTAGAGTGGGTATCTAAATTGTGGCACATTCATACCATGAAGTACAGCAGTTGAAATGAACAGACTAGAGCTACAGAAATACATCATGGATCTCACAAACATCAATGAGGGAAAGAAACCAAACATGAGAAAGTTCCCGTGGTACTATTCCGTATGTAACATGAGGATGGTTTCTGAAATTTTTCAGAATGCCATTGCTTGATGTGGATGTTGGTTACATGAGCATTTAATCAGATTGTGAAAATTCAGTTATCTGTGCATTTGTGGTATGTAATCATTTTGCATGTATGTTACTCTTCAATAAATAATTGAAAAAAGCCGGGGGTGGGGGGAGTTTGAAGATGTGGATCAGAGGAAATGGTGTGCATGAGTGCCCCGACTGCAGCTGCCGGGGGGGCTATCTTACCTCCACACCTTTGGGAAGAAACAGGAGTCAAGCATGAATACCAGCTTTCTCAGCCTTGGACTTCAAGCTCTTCTGAAATTTTGAATACCTAGAAGACAAGTTTAATGTATACTTGGATTTTCTTTAAATAGTACCAAGTGCTTAATGATAACAATGACAAGAGTGGTAGTAGGTTTTAAGCAAGTATTTGTTGTCTCAAGAAAAGGGGAATCATGATGGACAAGCTTAACTATAGTTATATTTGATATCATCAAGCAACACAGTACACCCAGTTAGTCACTCAGAAAATAACGTTAATACAAATTTATAAAAATACACACAAGCTTGCAAATATTAAATATTTATGTAAATCTTACCAATATCATGTATACCTAAAAATACTGCTCAGTGGGGTTAAACATAAAATGGGTATCTGGTGGTTATTCTTTCTGGGTATGGGTATAAACTACAAACCTGTGTTTTGCAGGTGACTGTTATTTGAAGGACTGGTCTTCGTGGAGCCTGTGTCAGCTGACCTGTGTGAATGGGGAGGACCTAGGCTTCGGTGGAATACAGGTCCGTTCCAGAGCGGTGATTATCCAAGAACTAGAAAATCAACATCTCTGCCCAGAGCAGATGTTAGAAACAAAATCATGTGATGGTGAGTGCTACCGTTCATAAAATCTGTTTATTTTAGGTTTGTGTTGATAAGCAAAAGCATAAGATACACAGTTTTCTGTTAAATAAGCAAGTCTGCTAAGAGCTCACTCAGGGCTGAGGAGTGAGTTACAGGGATGATTCCGAATTCAAAAGATTTAGAGGGAAAAAAGTCTAGCCACCCTTTGTAAGTTAGATATGAAATATCATAAAAAAAATTTCCCTGTTTTATGAGCTTAAGGAGGCTGAGATCAGTAGATGCATATTGTTCACACACCTATAGCAGTCCTGATCCTGTATGAAACTAGCAATATCCTCAATTTATTTAAACCAAAAGAAAGAATTAAATTACAAAGCAAAAGCAAAAGCAAAAGCAAAAGCAAAATGAGATATTTTAGTGTATTCTCAGAAACTGGTAAGTCAAAGTACTGGTAAAGACTAGTCTAAGTTTGATATATAAACATGTACTTTCATGTATGCTGTATCTCTCTATAAGTCTGTGTACACACATATACATCTACCTACTATAAACAATACCACAGAGCATTAAAATGTCATACGTAGTCTGGGAACACAGAAGAAGTCTAAATGAACACAAAAGAACTGTTATCTAGTGGAGAATGTCAGGCTCAACAGACAACCCTCTCATCCCTGCTTGCATTCTGGAGCAATTAAAGAGTATGACATTAGCAGGGAGGAGCCAGAATATTACCTGTATTACTGAGAAGTTGAAGGAAGTTTGGAATGTTGGAGAACAGTGCCTAGAAAGACAGCCCAGTGGGCTAGATGACTTAACCCAGGAATTAAAGAATTACCCATCCTATTAGTTGAATCTTCCCAAATTTACCAACCAGGTAAAGCATGGCATATTCCTGGGATAGGGTAGGTAAAGGAGAGCAAGGTCAGGAGTTACAATAAATGAAATAATTCCCAAAGGAAAAAAGAATTGTTTACCCCAAATGACAATGAAATAAAATGAGGAATCACAAATACCACAGCTGGAAGGAAATCCCCCCGGCCCCCTGCACACACACAAGTGAAAACTGAAAACTCCATCTCTAGAGCATGACTTACCAATGCGGGTGCAGCACAGGAGTACTTGAAGGGAATTTAAAGCCTCATGTGCTTAGATAGGAGAGAGAGAAGTTTAATATCAGCTAGACTTTCAACTCAATTTTTTTAAAAAAGGAAATAGAGTAATTACAAATTTAATGAGATAGAAAACAAAGAAAGAAGATAACCAGCAAACCAATAATTTGCTTTTTGACCAAACAAAATAGAGTACCTCATGGCAAAATCAATGAAGGAAAAAAAGGGCAAAATTATTACGACTACAAATAAAAATAGTATTTAAGAAATACAATTCTATGAATAAATTTTGCTAATAAATGTAAAAACATGACAATTTAGAATGTTATTATAATTTATCAAGATTAATAAGAGATGCTAAACCATAGATTCTATCCCTCTTAAAAACACACATCCATCAAATACGTAGTCCCACATGCACACATAAAACCTAAATGGCTTTAATTGAGTTTTACTAAAATTTAAAGAACTCCCATTTTTACAAAATCTTAAATAAAGTTGGGTGGGAAAAAAAGATGAGTATCTCCCCAACATGACACCAAAATCCCCAACAAAAATAGAAAACAATGAAAATACTTTTAAATTAAAATTTAAATCTTCTATGCAGTAAAATAGATCATAAACAAGGTTACTGGATATGCCACAGATTTTAAAAATTATTTGTGAAGTCATTTTTAAGGGATTAGTGTCTAGAACAACTATCCTAAAACTTCTCAGCCTTCTAAAACAATTTCATACCTGTAAAATTGTTGAGGACCCCAAACTGCTTTTCTTTGGGAGTTACATATATATCAAAATTTATTGTATTAAAAATGACAAGTGAAGTTGTAAAACATTTGTTAATTTAAAGCAATCATAAATCAATTTTATGTTACCATAGATATTTCCTGTAAAATAACTAGTTTCCAAAACAAGAAGAAAATTAACATGCATGGTCCTGTTTTACACTCTTTCAAATCTGTAACATCTGGCTTAATGAGAGACCACTGAATTCACTTATCTGTTTCTGTACTCACTCTACTGCAGTCTTAGTTTAGTTTATGTATATGAAGAAAATTCAACCTTACTCACCCAGATGTATAGTTAAAAGGGGAGGTCCTCACACACACCTCGTACACCGAAGGAATGTCAGTCTCCCCTGGTCCTTGGGCCATACTTTGAGAATTGTTATTCCAGAATGAAAAATTCCCACAGTTCAGTAAGATAGGGATAGATTTCAGTAGAAAAAAGGGATGGGGGAGCCAAAAGATATACATAAGCAATTCACAAGAGGAAATCTAAATGCCCCAAATGCTTTTCTTACTGCTTAATTGCTTTGGTAATCAATTGAAAGTTAAAATGATGAGATAGTGTTCCCCACCCACAAGACTGACAAAAAAAATTTTTAATCTGGAACTGATTGTGAGGGTTTAGAGCAGTGGTGACTCTTACTGCTAGTGGGTATGTAAATTGGCACCTTTTAAAGAAAAAAAATAATGAGCTATATTTAGTAAAGTCGTAGCAATCCCTCCAGTGATACCCAGACATTTCCCTTCAGGTATTTACTTAAAGAAGCATCAGGAGGCTTGCACAAGGCTGACCACTGAGGCACTGTTGTAATAGCAAAAACTGAAAACAACCGAAAAGTTCACCCATAGAGGAAATAGGTAAATAAACTGTAGTAGTTAGTAACATGGAATTCTATATAGCAGTTAAAATAAATTGACTATGTCTGCATTAAGAATCCCATAGAAATACTTCATCTGTAACATTGGCTAGTGTCAGAATGATCTATGTATCATGTGTCTGTATGATACTTTTGAAATTTTAAGACTGCCTGAAAATAATGCTATAAATCATTTATGGATTATATGTATTTATATTAAAAGAATAGAAAACATGTCACAGAAATGCATGCGTCTGCTTCAGAAACAGTGGGTATTGCTGGACAGTCAAGGAGGGAGATCAAATCAGGAAAGAATGTAAGACAGAGTTTGTTACTTTTTATTCATCCACAAGCAAAAGAAAACTAAAGCAAATAGGACTAAACGGTAATATTTAGTGGGTAATTGAATATTTTTTAGTTTTTTTTTCAGTTATCCTCCATTCTTGTCTGTACATTCAACATGTCATACTTTAAATAAAACATTAAATTAAAAACCAAGGTCACATCAGATAGTGTGACAGCAGACAAGGAAAATTTGATGGATTTAGGTATGTATCTAGACTTTTGTAACACAGCAACTTCAGCACAGTAACTTGACATTTGAATTATTCAAAATGGACTTCTTACCGCTTTTCAGTTATTTATAATAAATATTTTATTAATACTCTATCTCCATGATTGTCCTGCTGGACTGCATAATGCCTCTGTTAATATCTGCTGTGTCCCTGCAGATGGGCAGTGTTATGAGTATAAATGGATGGCTAGTGCTTGGAAGGGCTCTTCCCGAACAGTCTGGTGTCAAAGGTCAGATGGAGTAAATGTAACAGGTAAACCTCATTTCTCTGTTCTTTGAAAATCCTCCTATAATGCATATGTATTTGATTAAAGAGAATAATTAAGAAATCAAAGATATTCTATCAACATTCCACACATGATTGGATTCAGGAAGCCTGAGCTGTGTACCTAGTGACCAATGAAAAATTATTTTTTTAATATTTCAATTAAACTCTCCCTCACCAAGCCATTTTAGACATTGCTGCTAGATTTAATTAAAATACTGTCTAACTCTAAATGATTATTTTAAGTAAATAATTCTCGGATTATTTTTTCTAGAAATTTTATGTATTAATAACTCACTACATGCTAAAAAAGTCAGTTTTGTTGACTGTGTGTTTCTGTGCCTTAAAGGCAATATACATGCAGACCAAATATTACCAAGACAATATGATTGTACAAATCCAAGTGTTTTGCTTGAATTCAGAAATCTATGACTTCTAATTTTTTATTAAGTAATAGAGAAGACCTATTGGTAAAACTCAAGCTCAGAGCATCTGGTAGCTACTGTCAGCCTGCTCCATCCCCACTCAAAAATCATCGCCCATCGAAAGAAGTAATCCAAATGAAGAACTTTTCTAAAATTTCCTTTGATCCAAATATACACCCCCAGAGAACTACTGTAATCTGCAGTTACTAAAAGTTTCCTTATCTAAGTCCCCATAAATGGCAGGGTCCCAAAGACCCTTTGAAAAGGTCCAGAGACAGAAAGAACCACCCTGCAAATTTCCTATAAAGAAACCGAGGTCAGAACCACAACCTCACCCTCAAGCACATGGACCCAGAGATCTAATGTCTCAAACAATTCATCGTTCTAGACCTAATCCTCAAGAAGCTCCAGAGCCCAGAAGCAGCTTGTTAACCATTAGGGGGACCTGCTGACTTGCTGCCACTGTTTTGACCCTCTGGCAGGGAAACAAAGTGTTATGCATTTGGGTGCCCCTGGGTAATGTCCATTTATAAATTTAGCTGTAGTATCTACAGTAAGATGACAGGAGCAGGATCGATACGCTTTTTGGAAAGCATCAGTTTTTATATTGGATTTTAAATCACCTGGATTTATGGAAACCTAATTACTCATTTCCTCCCTAGGAAAGCTAGAGCAGGATGTCAAACTATATTCTTGTGAAGATTTTATACTTGAAAATTCTGTGTTAAGAAACGCTTGATAATAGCAACTCCTGGTGGACACATATGTACCAAAGACAAGACACCTACCAGGAGACTGTTTGCTCTTTCACAGTATTATTTTCTGGGAGAAAAACCTATTCCTCCACCACTCTCAGAGGCACAGGAGGGGAAGAGCCCTGGGAAGGGAAGCACAGGCTTTCTGAACCTAAAGGCATCACAGAGGGGAGCCACTTGGTGCAAGTGTTGAAAACGAATGTCTACATTCTCCTTTAAACTGTCACAGAGAATTTTATAACTTCCCCAAAAGGTCCTGCTAGTTTCCAGTTATGTGCTGTGTTTTTTTTTCAAATGTGGATGCAAATATTTGCACTTCCTTCTACATGTTTTTCACACTGAAGTTGGGGCTCTTCCCCAGTGCAAAGGTAAGTCAGATTTTAAAAGACTTCCTGTAGAAATCATATTTTCAATTTCTTTTCCCTAAAGTATCCTCCTAATTCCAAATTAATGCCATTCCCTCCTAATGCCAAAAATAAAATAGTGTGTAAATGATTTGCCATAAACTCTATATGCATTTTTCTTCCATCTTTTAGGAGAGATGGGATTCTTTATAAGAAATAGACAAGCATGTAAAGTATGTTACCTACCTTAATCGATTGCTTTAATTTTATGAATAGTTGTCCTTACAGGAAACTCAAGATGTTTTTCTTTGTCTTCATCTGCTTGATGATGATAACTTCAATCTGGCCATTTAAGTGCAACTGCCTTGCGATGACTAACTGCTTTTGCATAACAATTTTCCTGTGAATAGTTTTAGAATATTGAGATTAGGCAAAGAATTAACAATAGGCACCTTTGATTAAATTCCAGAGGATCATCAATTCCATAAGTAAAGGAAAAATTTTGCTTTGCTCAAATTCTGTTAAACTGAACAAGTATAGTTTGAAACTCTGAGTTTCTTCCATGCCACCAATATTGTTTCTTTATGACATCTATTCTCATCTTAAAACTTCATTATAATGACTTAGGCATACCTGGTACTCTACTAGGAAAGAAAAGGGCTAAATAGAGAGCTACAATGTCAATTTAAAACAATAATGCAAACACACCACTTAGTAGCTACATTTGTTTTCTTTCCTACACCCCCAAAATATCCTGAATTAGTAGGAATGGTGATTCTCTCAAAAAGAAATATGCATTATAAAAAATACATCTACATGTTATCACATAAAGAGATTTTTTATCTTAATATGAAAACTATTTACTTGAATAACCAAGAAAGAATTTTAACTTTAAAAGATAATTAAATCTGCTTTTTGATGCTAGGCTTAGCCTTAGGTACTATGGCAGGAATAGCTTATGTGCAGTTCGTATTTCCAAAGTAGTGACTATAAAGTCACCCACTCAGCAAGTGCTTATCAACCACCTGCTGAGCGGCAGGTACTGTGCTGTCTCCTCTGAATCAGAAGGGCCTCAAGTTCCTAAATAAAGTGGTCAAGGTTAACCAAATATTTCACGTTCAGCCACCCTCAGAAAAATCTATAGGATTCCCAAGGTGCTTCCGGATTCAAAGACAAGCCTATAACAATGACCTACTTTCTCATTGAAAGAGATGCTACTTGTCAAAATATGCTTTTCTGTTCTGCAGGGGGCTGCTTGGTGGTGCGCCAGCCTGATGCTGACAGGTCTTGTAACCCGCCGTGTAGTCAACCCTACTCGTACTGCAGCGAGGTACGTGTGAATTCATCAGGGTAGACAAGCCAGCTTCATTGTTTGTCACCCTGCTCACTGCCTCTGATACAATCCATCCCTCCCACCCCCCAAAAAAGCGTGTCTTGAGGCATAAAAATTCTATTTGGGGACCTCT